CTCATGTTCGTTCGATGTTTCACGGCGAGCTAGATTGAAAGAACATAGGTTGGCCATCTTTTCTGCGCGCATCATACATTTTTACAAGGCTAAGCCGTCACGACTCGCTACTTAGTATTTTAGCATGCTGATTTCCGAGCGAATTGAAATTTAACTTCTCCGAGGCTTCAAACTTTGATCTCTCGCTCGCGGAATGATAAAGCGCCGCGAAACTTTCACGACGTCTATGAAAAGAGATAATAGGATCCACTTAAATTCTTTTTCAGTGGTACAATCATTCTCGAGGTACACCCCGCTATTTGTCGTGATAAAACCGAGTCTCTTTGGCGCGCGAAATAAACGTGACTTAGCTTGTATCGAGTTGGAGTTGGAAACGAGCCCAGAAATTATCGCTTTGATCTTGCTGCTGGCACGAGTGCGCGAATGCCTTCCATTAACCCTTGAAATAACAGCCGAAAGTTCCGTCGTTAAGCAACGGTAGTAGAGCTTTACGTTCGTTCCACGTTGACGCACGTGCGTCTCACTTTGGTGCTTAACATTGCCCCTTTATTTCTTCGAGATCACTCAGGGTGAACACGAACATTTCAGATCGTAAGTGTCGGACATTTCGCTTTAATATCCGACAGTAACTAGAAATTAATACCATAAAATTGAATAGTATTTTAACTATTATATTGTAGCACCATATTAGTTATTATTATACAATATTACTTATTATATATACAACATTACTTACAATATTATTATAAAATATTATTATACAATATTATTTATTATATTATACACTCATCTCTCGATTTACATGGTATTTTTTATCCGCAGTTTTTTTTTCTACGGTAAATAATCTCTCCGTTTATACGGTACTTTTTATACACGTTTTTTTCTTACGCGATCTCATTTTACGCGATAAGAAAATATAACTGTCTATGGTATTTTTTGAAATTATTATATAGGGAGTCAAAAGTTCTTAACTTGATTGTACTTATTACGTTATTTTGTGACCTTTTTTAGTTGACTTGTGGAAAGTATATTAAGCTTAAGGGATAACAAATTTATTTTTTTGCATTTCGTGCAAATAAAGCAAAATATATGTGAAACAAACATTTTTACAACACACACGAGCTTTTCTCTTACACGGAAAGAACGGTTTTACTGAAATACTTAAAAATTTAGCTAGATACAGATCTGAAAATAATTTTGTTGGATCATCAAAATTATTATGTAGAACACTCAAATTGATTGCTAAAATGTCAAAACTTTTTACAGCATTATTATCATACTTCAGCGACCTACTTACTATAATTATTTTGATGGGGCAACAAAATTATTTTCAGATCTATATCTAGCTAAATTTTTAGATACTTCAATAAAACGGTTTTTTCCGTTTACGTATTTTTTTATTTTTTTTATTCTAGCAGACTCCATTTACGCGATTCTCAACCGCATAAAAAACCATCATAGAATGAATATACGTATAAATGAAGAGATAAGAGTGTGTTATATTGTAATAATTATAGAATCTAAAATATTTTCGCACAGGTTTTTCCACGAACGATAGACGAACAAATAAAAAACATATCACGGAAGAAAACAATAACGAAATTCATCGAGAAATTAATAATATGCTAATCTTTCCAATTTTAATATTATACACATATGATCCCAACAGTTTTTTATGACTATAAAAAAAGGACAATGGCACAAACTATATTTCTTCGCATTTGTAATATCGAGAAGCAAGCCCGTCGATGCGAGTTTGAAACCCCGTTATCGAAGATTTATACATATATGTATGTCTCGACGCGACCACTTCGCGCGTTGCTGCATGCGCATAAGTGCTCCAAGAAGGACATCGTCCTTATTCCGAAGCGTAGATTCGCATCTCCATCGAACGCTCCTTACGAATTCGACGTCCATATTCAAACGCGGTTCGATGAACCCGTTGGAAAAATGATCAGAGATGCGGGTGAACGGTGCCGGCTGGATCGCGGCCAAGGATCTTCTCGCTCCTTTGATCGCGCCGTCGACCGAATCGGGCCGTCGCTGTATATTATCAATATCGGTCCATGCCCCATATCCTTCCTCCGAATCGTCCGCGCCGACCGGCCGGCGCGGCGGCGGCGAATCCTGGCGGCGAGACGCAACGGGCCGCGCGATATAGAAGCGCGAAAAGCGAGGGAGTAAGTTAAATTGCGCCGTCGAAATGGGCACGGCTGCCGGCCGGTCGAAAGCCCATTTCCGATAGAAACCACCCCCTCTTCCTTGTCAGTCAGGCGAGACGAAGCCAGGCCGGCGACGGCAGCGTTCCCCGTTTTGTACCCATTTTCGGCCAATTCCGGATTGCGCTCGTAGATCCGCTCGCGGGGAATCCCGTTTGGATAGAATCCGGCGCCGAGAAGTATCTGGGATTGATTATTCGCGGCTATATCGGAATAGATCGGCGATGGAACCCCGAAACGACGTCTACCCCGTTTCCCCGGTAGCCATACGGGGGCAAAATTAGATCGCTGCAGTGAACTCCGCACTGCGGACTCTCGGGTCGCGTCGTGCATTAACATTTGAGCATCCGAAATGGAAAAAAAAGGACCGGCTAAATTTGAAAACGTAAGATTCTCGGGTAGCAAAAAATTTCATATTTCATATAAAATCCGCGAAATATTCAATTTTACGTGCCGTAGAGATTACTTAATTTAATCCAGAGAGACGTGTGACAGCTAATGGAATTGAGTAATGGAATTCATTTTTTATGTTTAAAATATAAATCTGCGGAAAAGTTTTACGATTTATAAAAATAATATTGGTCGATAGTTTGTCGTCGACAAACTGCAGAAGAAATAAGCTTTTCCAAATAGGACACATTCTATAAAATATGATTGAGGCGTTCGAACATATTTATGAATGCAACAGCTCGATGTAATCTGACAAAGAAACACGTTATACCTCCTTTATTGATCCCATTGCTTCTTACTTGCGCGATTCAGTATCGATTGAATATCTAACATGAATAACAATTGGCGTTCGGAGACAGTTTGACGTTTCATTTCTTGATACGCATTCTTCATTCCTCGTAATCCATATTTATAGATTCTCGAAACGTAACGGACGCGAGCGACGTGAATCCAGTAATAATGTCTATATCCTCAGCGACGCGAGACAGATCCGCGTTGAAATCCGACCGTAATTCTTCTATTTTTCTTTGTTTAACATACTTTTGAATATCCGTGGTACATGCGACGCGTTACAAACCGACGCTAAATCTTCAGATGATCCGACGCGAGTACACGAGTACATTTTACTTTGCGTTTCGTCGAAACATTTACTCAGCGCTGGCTTGCCATCAAGAAGTTTTAGCTGAAACCGTGCTACGTGCGCGCTCCGCGTTTTCTTCAAGTACGTCGTAAAAGTACTTGCAAAATTACATTCTGTCAACGAAACAGTTTGGCACGAGGGGCACGTATCAGCCGTTCCTTACGCAATTCTGCAAATTTTTTATTTTACGTACATTCGTGCCAGTACTAATGTGCGTAATATGCATAAGAGGCAATAATTAAAATGCTCAAGAATGATATCCCTATTAATTTTTAAGTAAAATAAATGTACATGAAAAAAACGATGTATTAAACAGCATTAGTCTGATTGAAAAACTAATCTTGTTAATTCTATATAACAGTATTAATGAGGCAACAACAATTTATTATTTAAAACAAGAGCATGACGTATGTATTTCATTAATACTCTTATTGAATTAACAAGATTATTTTCAATCAGACTAATGCTGTTGACATCCATTTCTTCCGTGTATATACGGATTTTTGAAACGTCATATAATTCAGATAGAATTAAATTGTCGAATTTGCTCATCATCTTTTATATATAATCAAGGATTTTTAATCTCTTTCAACGAAAATCTACGGAATCTAGAAAATCTACATCTCTTTTAATACCTCGAGCATTATTATATTTTTCGCTATACTGTTAATATATTCAGCGAAATTATAACTTTGAGTAGGTATCTTCATTCAATTCTACCTCTGAATGTCACGTTTGTATGAATATATAGCGCCGGAGTCGTCGTAAAATTGTAGCCGTATCTTGGTTTTCCGTTTCGCTGCATTATTATTGATCTGCGACCTGTGCAATGATTGTACGGTGGATATACCAGAATATCGCTATATTAACAGATCCCATCGATGCTTTCCTCATCGGAGAGATGAGAAAGAATGGAGATCGCCCGCGAGAAAGAATTTCTTTTGCCTTCATTCATTTCAATTAACTGATATAACTACGGCAATATGGTCTTTGCCTCGGTCCAAAGTTGCATGCGAGAAATATAAGAGTGCGCCAGAGAAAACTATTAAGTTATACAAATATATCGTTCATTTATAATAATCAGCATAATTGATTCACTTAAGTGAAAACAATGAGAAGGCTTTTCAAACAGAACAAAGAAAGTCTATGTCGATAATGAAACACCGTTCTCATGGAAGCGTAATCCAATCGTAAAAAATTTAATTCTTTGGCTTTGTCAAAAGCCGTACATTTGTAATGCGTTCATTCATTGAATCATTCAGCTTGCGAACTCACGCGAGACCGAAGGCGATATGCAATTTTATCAACTTTAATCGTCAATATTGACCGCGACGATTAATAATCATCGAACATTTCATTTGTATAATGACGTATTATCACGTTCTCGAATTAGCAAATGGCACGATATCACGCGTGATTTTCGATGCTTAAATGATAATTAGTGGAACCCGGAACACATTATACATTAACGGAAACGGTGCGTCATAGATATGCATAATTAGCTCGCGGAGAATTAATATCTTGTTTGTTGTGTAGCGCGAGCGATCGCGTGACAGATATTGCACGATAAATGCGAATTTAAGAAATGAAGTTATGGGTCAATTATAATCGCCACAGGCACTTATAAGCAATTGTTATTTTATCGTCATTTGAGAGTGTACATACATTCTAACAGTAATTGATGGTTGCAGCGAAGCTGGACGGCGTGAAGACTTACATGCGGATGAGGAGGGTACCGAATCACTTGCAGGTTAAAGTTATCAAGTGGTTCGACTATTTGTGGCTGACGCAGAAGTGCTCCGACGAGGAGAAAGCAGTGAGTTGTCTTCCAGGTAAGTTTCGCTTACACGCACATATGTCAAAAATAATTCACGGGAAAAAAAATTACGCGCTTAATTTGCTGAAAAACATCTGGAAACTGCAACCGCGGGTTAAAAATTGAGGAGAATATCTGTGACGAATATTATTCACGCGAATTCGGAACTTCTTTTTTTTTACAGAAAAAACGCGCTTGTGTACCGTTATTTTTAGCATAAGTGATTTATGAAAGCTAAGTAATGCAATTAACGCAGACATAATTAGTTATTTTTATATGAATCATTTATCTTCTCTTCACCCGGTAGTTATCGTTATTAATGCGCAATATAGAAGAGATGCGGGCGCAAATTTACTTTCATAAGCGCGAGATATATATGAAAATCCGGCGTCGTCTCGGCGTGGCCGTAACTTTATGATATTTATATAAGTCTGCAGAATCTATGCAAGCGCGGCAAGGTGAGGTGCTGTTTCACGAACGTGTAATTTAACGCAGCGTGTAATTAATGTAACGGACTTTGTCCGTCGCAAATTCCGAGGAAAGAATTTTTTATTTTTTAATTAGTCAAATTTATTAGTGTTATTAGTCAAATAACGGCGAGTGCAAATTACGCGGGGCGAGTGTTTACGAGAGCAATGAAACGATACCGCCGCCTTTCGCGGCGGTGTGTTAGCGTATATAATTTCACGGGAAACATTTGATCTCATAACCGCGCTGGCAGGATCCGCAAACTAAAATGCGAGCAAAGCAACGCGTAAGCAGGCTACGTGTGCGGTTGCCGACATCGTCGCCCTTTAATGCAAACCGCGCGAGAGCAAACGGACGTGGGCGAATTTTCGCTGGGGCGCCTGTCGCAGAGTGGCGAGATAAAAGTGCGCGCTGAAAGCTCCCGACTTATCCGAAAATTATAATTTATTCAGCCTTCCCCCCTTCCCCCACACGCTCGTTAAATCCACATTCTCTTTGTGATGCAACAAACAATTTGCGTAAGTGGAATTTGCATCATAAATAGGAAAACAAATCGATCTGTCCGTCGTGTCAGTGACGAATATATCTACTACATCACGAAATTAAATGCCTATTTTTATGATAAATAAATCTATTTATTACGTAATTAGAATTTGCATAAAACAAATAGAAAACCAAATCGACTTGTATATTGTACCAATAACGAATATGCATATTTGCTATTATTAACACAAAATTAAAGACCTACTTTTATGACAGATAAATCTATTTATTACATATTATCATCTTTTTCTAATATTTTTATAATATAAAAAATGTGATTATATTTTTCCTTATTAAATTAGATAATTTTTTTTATTGCTTGCGTAAAATGTAGAAGATTCGTAAATGATAAGAGAATGAAGTTCTGAATCGACTATTAAAGGCGACTCCGAGCCGATTATTGGAATGAAACGATATTTCTGCTGAGAATTCCCCACTAAAATGCTAGTAAAGCAGCGTCGTAATAATGATTCTATCGCTCGCGACGCACTATAAAGGAGACTATATGCAACATAAAACGCAGTGTGTATAGAAGCAAATAAACTGGAAGGAACGGGGATCCACGAGCTGCGCCGCGCCGGGTAACATAGGAGGACTTACGCTGAAATTTATTGCACGAGATATACAAGAGTGCTTAACGCGAAGTCAAGCTCCCACTAAGAAGGAAATTGTCAGTTTTTTATTTTCTCGAAGCTATCGTAAACTTTCGAAAATGTAATTATTTCGCTTTCGCGAAAACATCGACCGATTTTTTCATACGCCTGGCGTATAGCACCCGTTCTTTTGTGGCGTGACGTAAAATTTTCAATCGTTCTCTTTGTACTTCTTGAGGGACTTCTTTGTAATCGCTCTCCTTACAACTGTAGAAAAGGATCTCCATAATAAAGCAGCAGCTGGCTTCTGCGTTAACCACTCCTGCGCGAGTCCCTTTGTTTCTCAAACTGAGAAAAGTGTATTTCATATTGCCCTTTTTTTCACCCGACCATTGTAATAACGGTTTTCAGCTCGTCCCCTTTATTTAACGGGAGAAGAATCGGAATTTGGACATAGTTAACCGAGTTAACGTAACGCAGTCTAGAACGCAGAATGTTAAAGAGAGAATAAATGGCGAGGAGCAACGTTATTATTTCCCACGCAAAAGCGGAAGGCGCTTTTCAGACGAGTTTCCACGAGAGTAACGGCAAGGAACGACCGGACAACATCCTGAAAATCGTTTCGTTCGAATGGCGCGCGCATTTCCCAAGCAATAAACCTGCTATAAGGCGCGAGTTATAAAGCCTCCAAGTATAATGCACAACATAACGAGAAGTTGGAAATTGAATATTAGTGCGAAATGAAAAATTGTTGGCCATTACGATGCAAAGGTTTTCGTATACGTATAGATCGTTTAATCGGCTATAACGCGAGTGATAAAGTCCCGGAAATGATATCGAAGGCCCACGGAACGTCTCTGTATAATACTGGACATTTCCTCTAACGAATAATTAATTTTGATTTTATCTTTAATTTTAAATTACGTCTTTACGAGATATTCCTCCCGATATAAAATGGACGACACATCAAATCTTATCATCTCTGATTCTATTTTCGCAGTTTACTTCGTCGAGATGTCAGAATGTTGCCTGAAAGATTTTTTCCTCTAATTAATAATGAAACAACCTGTAGTACTGTGCCCACGCGTAATAAAACAATCGGTACGGACATTTTTTGCGCGGCGATAATAATCGGATTATATCGGGACACAGAGACGAGCAATTAGGCTGCATTACGTATTAATATATCGGGAAAAGGCATATCGATCGGCGACAAAATTGCATGAAAAGCAAAAAAATGCCAACGATATTCCCGATACTTGCAACAGCTTGCACAATCACAATTAACACTAATTTTCGGACTTTAGTGCTAATTACGCAGCTGCATTGCCGCAATAACAATGGTAACGTCGTATTGCGTACTTATACGGCCGACGTGCTTCTGGGTTAACTACCAATTTCTGGTGTACGCTCGGCTATAATTATCTCAGTAACAATAGTAACAATATGTTAAGTAAGCTTTACCCTGCTAATCAAAAATTCATGCGGGAAATAATACCAAGTCAATAAATCTTATTTTGCGAAACTCCTATATTAATCTGCGAGGGAATAATTATTAATGCGAGGGTGTTATTAATTGAATAACTCCCAATATTTATTACAATAGACATTTAATAGAGTATATTTGTTTATTAATTAATTTAGTATTAATATTAATTAGCATATACATACTATATTTGTATTTCCGCCAAGAATACCTAATATATTCGCACAGAAATAATCGCGATTATTTCCCGCACACCAAATCATTATTACTTAATCGAAGAAATAATTTAAACAGCAAATAATTAATAATTAAAATTTTATAGTAATAAATCTCTTTATACATATTCCGAAAAGAATGCAAACATTGAAATTTAACGGAGATTCAAATTGTACGAACATTGAAATTCGAAGCGTTTTAGCTTTATAATGAAAACTGCTTTAAATCATTATGAGTGTGCGCGAAAATATGAATAATTTTACGCGAGATAATATTAAAAAGAATATTTTATGGTCGAAATCGATGGACATATATCGATAGTTTATAAGAGCTCCCTTTAGTTGACCATTTTTAGTCGGCCACCTAATTGCGACGGGAATTTCCACCTTTCGCAAATAAGTACGACAAAGTGTGTCTGGCTAATGAGACGTCGCTTTGATAAAAAAACACCCTTTTTTTCCAGAACAGTTTTACACTTTGAAGTTTCGGACGAAGTCGCCGTGCAACAGAAACAGTCCTCCGGCGCTCGGCGACTTCCGCCGTTGTTGTGCAACGACGTAAATTGTTGCGCACAAAAATTTCACTACCTCGTCGCGGAAGAAATTTTAAATATCAAGCGGGGGAGTATATGAAATAGCGGAAGAAAACGAGGGTGGAGAGGACGCGTATCGTGTAAATTTTTGAAATTCTAAGTTAATTAAAAATGGATACGCTTCTCTCTTTACACGTTATAACGAACCACCTCGGCGCGGCGGTGTAGGTACACGTTGCATTTTCAGCTTGTTCCGCGCGGCGAAAGTATAAACTGCACTCTCCGGAATTAATTCGGAGATTTGGATTCCTCTCCGGTGCTCTGCCCCCTTTTTTTTCACGCTCCGCACTTAATCGCTTTTCGCAGATAAGCTGAAGGCAGAGATCGCGATAAACGTGCACCTGGACACGCTGAGGAGGGTCGAGATTTTCCAGAACACGGAGGCTGGCTTCCTGTGCGAGCTGGTGCTGCGACTACGGCCCGTTCTTTTCTCACCTGGCGACTACATCTGCCGCAAAGGTATGTAAATCGCTCCCGGTCATCATTCTTCCCGGCGCGGCGCAGGAGTTCTCGGAAGCGTTAGGCCGAGCGTGTGTTTTACACATACTCCTCGTTCCGCGCCACTTTAGCGAGGAAGAATTAATGCCGTAAATTAGGATTCAGATAAAAAATGTGGCTAAATGTTCCGTTGTTAACAGTCGACTTTGCTCATTCCCGTTTCGCCATTTACGGCATCCCTCAGGGGTGCGAACCCTAGATACCGGGCTTCTCTTCCCACTCCCCGCGATTTCTCCCCGGATTCGGTGTGCCCTGCTTACGGAGGCACGCTGTGCTGGAAATACGCCAAACGACGTACCGTGGGTGTGAAAAATGATTGCTTGCGCTCTTTCTCTCTCTTTCTCTCTCTCATTCCATCCCCGTCACCGGAGACCGTCTCTGGTAGACGAATATTTTTATTTTACGACCGAAAAAGTGACTGCCGCGCTCGTTATTAACGCGATAGAAGGAAGCGCGAGCCACTGTCTGTTCTCTGCATAACTACTTCGGTATAGTCCAGTTGCATACAGAAGCGGCTCGTAAATTCTAACGACTGACACCGCCATTCAACACGCAAGTCTCCGAAAATATATTTCTTTCATAAAATACAGCAGAATTCAATACCGTAAAAAAAAAGGCTAAAGACGATCCAGAATGGCTATTTATGTCAAAAATGATTTCTTCTTTTATTTTTAGTACCCTACCGTCACGGAACGTGGTCTTTTTTTCTTTCAACTCATATTTTGTCTCGTGGAACAAAATTTACGATTATTTAAGTGACAATTATATTCAGGAAGCAGTTATTCTTTCGATATCGAGAAATCTAGTCGGAACGGAATTCGCTGAAAAATATGACTTCGCTATCTATTTTTGAATATTTATGACGCATTCCAGATACTCTCCGTATACCCGCATCGTATATCGTTGCACAAATAAAAGCTTACGCTATTGCTTGGCACTTTTATCGACATATTTAGTATTTATTTCTTGATCCGTGAGCGGCCGCGGGAGTAATTCCAGCTTGTCAAAGCGCGCGAAAGCCGAGAACCGAATCGTCCTTTCCCGCGGATCGTTTGCCTTCCATCCACTTTATCCTCTCTCTCGACAGGGTTTCTTTTCACTACCGGCGGAATGACCGCCATGTGCGCGTAGGAATGCGGGAAGCAATACCTTTGATGGGCGACCTTCCTCGCGCACTTCCGCCGCGCCGCTGCATCGCGTCGCGCGATTACGGTCGGAATTATGACTGAGCGTTACTACTTGCCCAACAAATGACGGCCATTCCTCGCGTATCCTGTTGCGCTCTTTTGTACTATTTTTTTATTATAGTCGATCCCTCCCAACGTCAATTAATTGTAACGATATTTTTCTCCGCGTGTAACATTTTAGGAAGAGACAAAAAGGTAATCTAGGTTCTGTCTGTGTACGTGCGTGTGTTCGTTGTAAAAGTTTCCAACTCTTATCCTTGTTTGATTTTTTTTCTCTATTCTTGTACCTCCGCTGAAAAATACGTCGTGGTTTAATGATGACAAAAGTCGGATTGGTGGAATGATACGAGCACATTTCTACGTAGTAAGAGAGAGGTACCAGCCCCTTGTCGTATACCTTGAGATATATGTACCAACCGCTGTACTTGGACCAATGGCGTCGACGGCTTATTATTTTTATAGACTCATAAAAAAGCTGCTGCATAAAAAGAACTGAAATTTATGTTAAGTACATTCGCAAAACTTTTCATCCCTCGGAGTGAGGGAAATACGACTTGTAGCTTGTAGCGCTGTTCTTTTATACCAGCTTTGTTATCGGGGGATTGTCGAGCAGCGATGTAGCGTAAACGCCTTGATTAAGTTAGATTCAAGGATAGGAACGGTCGACGGGAATTAATTAGCCCTCGCTTAGACGTCACTTTTGTGCGATTGCAGGTGAGGTGGGAAAGGAGATGTACATAGTGAATAGGGGCCGACTGCAGGTGGTGGCCGACAACGGGAAGACGGTGCTCGCCACCCTTAAGGCGGGTTCCTACTTCGGGGAGATCAGCATTCTCAATATGGGGACCGCAGGTAAAGAGTGCGGTAAATATTCCAAACGGACCAGGGGCCCGTGAGCTGTCCCCCTTCGTTTTTCACGATCACGTTTTCACGTTTCACGTTCTTACCACTCTGTGAGAGGGCAAGCCGTCGAGCCGGTATGAGCCGATCTAAAAACGATCTCTCTAGCAATTTTTCACTATCTCTCTTTTTCTCGCAGACCCACTTGTCGATCTTCACCTTTTTTAATCGCGATCGACGTTCATGCAACGACGTCCGCGCGGTGAACGAGATTAAAATATACATATATGTATATCGATTACCGATCTGTAAAAGAAACTAACTTCGAGGAGTAGGAATATTAATTCTTCGGTCTCTTTGCATTAAGGGAAAAAATTATGGTTTATTAATAAACAGTATTTAAGAAATAGCCGAAGTAAATTTAAAAAGGATAAAGGATTAAAATTTGTACTTAATAAAAAAATTCCATATTCTCTATGAATTACAATTAGGATAAAAGCAACAGGATTCTTTATAATAGAGAGAATACATTACTAAATTATACATCGTTACTTGCGTGCGCCTCATTATTATTTATTTAATTAAAAGCGGTACATTTCTTTCGCCGACAGAAATCTCGAAAATGTAATTATCTTAAAATTCTCATAACTATTCCAATCTGCATGCAAGAAAAATAATACAGATACGTATTATATTATTAATACGCTTATTTCCGGGATGTTTTCAAAATTAAGCATAATTTTCAAATTACGGTTGAAACAAAATTAAACGCAAATTTAGATTTACGTGAATATAAAATGAGCAGGGAATTAAACGAGCCTCTCTGTTATCACAGTCGTGATATCACATTTTCTCAAACAAACACACTGAAAAACGAGCTTTATCTAATTTAACTGTGATTGACGTTGCATTATCTACCATACAATTTTGCTGGCTGTATAGGACATATTTCTATTATTATTGGCTTTGTCGCAGAATTTATGGCATGTGTAGTCACCGTAAATTTATTGCGAAATTTGATTATTTGAATTCGAAGTTACATATGTGTCTCAATGTAGTGTCGCATCGCTATAAATGTGAAATGGAAATCAAATGAAAATAGTGGAAAATTATAGAAAAAAATATCTTTTTATATAAAAGAATTTATACAAAAAAATTCTATAAAAATATCGTGACAAATAAATCTCACTAGATTAATTTCGTGACCCGCGCGGTACTGTATCAAATGACCGAACGGCAACCAACTGTAACAAACTGAAATAGCCATTCGCATTCGCTGCGCGCGCGAATTGACAAAAGAAAATTAACGGGGAAAAATCTTTTTCTCCCGCTTACATTTTTTTTTTGCACGATTTAATGAACGCGATATCAAAGCTAGCTTCTTAAAGCGCCGCGAAATCACTCGTGCGTCTTTTGGGATTTCGCCGTAGCTCCGAGGACGGAAGAAAAAGGATTGGCAACGCAAAGTATCACTCCGATTTCTCTGCATCGACAATCCTATTGCCGCCGCCTGTCAGGATAGAGCCGTCCGTGCCCGGGATCGATGGCGGGTCTCATTCTTGTTTTCGAGGACCGGCTCCCTTCGAATGACTCCCGTCGAGACGAAAAAATAAGCGCCCAACGGCCGCCGGCGCGTATAAAGAGTCGCCTCGGTGACGGCACGAACTTTATTCTCCTATCGAACTTCCTTCAGAAAACTCTCTTTTTCCCCGAACGAACATTGCATTCGCATTCGCGAGGAAACTTCGGGCTAATAAGAGCCGCCGTTTTGGCCGCCATCTGAATGATCTTAATCCGCTATAAATTGAATTCTCTCCATCCGTATTTTCAGTGCACGATCCAGTGCTGTTATTAAGTTAAAAGAATTTAATTTTTCTGCGATACTCCATATTTTTTATGAAATAGTTCACGGAGAAAATTTTATGTTGAATTTTACTATGCTGCCGCACCAACTGCGGACCATCAAGACGCCCAAGTTTAAATGCTATAGTCTTGTAGTAAAATTACTATGTCCATAGCATTTAATGCTACGATCATAGCATTCAATGCTATAATAATGCTATGATTGTATCACTAAATTCTATGGACATAGTAATTTTACTATAAGACTATAGCATTTAAACTTGGGCGTCTTGATGGTCCGCAGTTGGTGCGGCAGCACAGTAAAATTTAACATAAAATTTTCTCCGTGTTGAAAAAGAAATTATCTCTTATATATACCGGCGGCTATGTCAGCTTATCTTTTTAGCAAACACAAGCTCTGTAACTCCGCTACGTATTGTATCTACGAAAAAAAAAAAACCCGGGCAATATTGTCTCGCGAAAGTGTAAACAGCCTTTCATACGCTGTTACTCGTAGATAACAGGGCGCCCGTTCCAGGAAGGTATTGCCGCGTGGATTCCGCGGGCGTTTTCAATTCGTGCGAGCGGTATCAATCGCATTTGAATTCCGTATTGTGTTTGCATTGAATCAGAAATTTTATAATACTCTGCTTATCTAGTAAACAGTAACGGGTAATTGAATTTCGCGGCGGAGTCCGTCGTTGCGAGACCGTCGACGCATCTTGAATAAGGCCCGTGACACGTATTGCCCTTTAGTCTCCACCCTTCTTCAGTATTTCTCACGGCTACTGTACTTCATTTTTTTTTTTTTTTTTTATTTACGATCGACCGGAACGACCGACCGAATTATGACACACGTCGTAAAATATCCGATTGAGAGATTCCTCTTTTTCTTTACGGCGCGGACTCACCGCGAATTTTTGGGCGACACTCGCGTTTCCGAGAGATGAATAAGAGGCCAAAGAGATCAGATATAGACCGAATCGTCGATAACGTATCGAAATTATTCATTAGCCCTCTCTTTTTTTTTATTCGAAGATAATACGTGTAAGTGTGCCAATCGGACGAAATAGCGAACGGCGTCTCAGCCCCTCGCAAGGCGTACCGGTCGATAAGGTTTTTGATGAATCATATTTTTAGTCAGTCGTGCTCACAATTTCTATTTCGCTTTCGTAGCTCTATTAGAGGAAATGGCTTAGAACTGGGTCGATTTGGATCCATTTCTTTAGTCGCGCCTTTTTCAGCATCACAATCTTTGATTCTCACAATCGGTGCTGCAACATCACGCTGAGACTGTTACATTTCTTTTTCTTATACTTGCATATCTATTAATTGTTATCTATTATGGCTGAAGGGACGGCATTTGTAAAGGACTTATCCGCTGTTTAAATTGATGGCGGTTATTTATGGCTCTAAACACAGGTGTTCGATTGCCTGTGAGAATTTATCATTGCACAGCCGTTTACAAATGCTTCCTACGATCGAGCATCTCCATTCTCACGCGATATTACCATGTTACTATTCATTGCACCATTTCACGTATCTTTCTCACAATCGCCATTAACTCCCTGATGTAGGCTCTTATTGATGATTGTAATTTTTACTGCTGTGATGCGTGCTGATTTCATATATATTGACCTGCATTCAGATCCGCCAATTATTATCAATAATTATATATATATATATATTAATACACACAATATATATATTTATATATATATATATATTTATACACACATATATATATATACTACATATATATATGTATACGTACAATTTGATTACAGTAGTTTCTAGTGTCCTTTATCTTAGCTAACTTTTTGAAACGTCCAGTATAACTTTGCTTACCTTGATTTATTCATGAAGGAAGATAGCCGAACTTGCTTTCGCTACACGTAAAGAGAAGAAATCATTGACAGGAGAAAGCAAAATAGACTAACTCCCTTCAAACATATATATCCAGTATTAAACATTGATATATTGTCCATTGTAAATATATTAACTTATTGCAAGTAAAATCTAACAACGATGATGAAAGAAAACCGATGCGAAAGAAACTACAGCAAACGTATCTCTACATAAGGTATACATTTATTAAAATTAAGATGTACAATACCAAAGGAAGTAACGTAAAATTTGCGTCGCCTGCTTATTATACGCATTATCGTAAAGACAACACTGTCAATTAATTCTCCGCTAAGAACGTACAACAAAATCACCGTCCGATCGTACCGCAGTCGAGTAACAATCGCAAAGTTAATACCGCCGTCTCGTTAAAATACTCGCCTAATCGTATATTTAAACTATAACGTAATAGATACGCGACATTCGAAAGAGCAGCGAGATATCATCTTACTCGAACATCCCGCGAATTCTGACAAAGTAAAATGCTTTTAGGCGACTTATATCCTTCATGTCGGGGTTTATTTGCGAAAAAGCTGCTCGAAATAAATAATTCAGATACTCGAGGAATATGGAATTCCCATTCGCTAAATTTCTTCGATATACGGTTAATGTTTCTGAGCGTGTTCGACCGAGAGCGAACGAGAAGCTGAGCGGGGGAGGAGCGGCTTCGTTCCCTTCGAAATATGAAAACTTTCTGAGTAATATATGACGCGAGTTGTGCACGTTGCCACGTGCTACAAGTTTGCCACGGTGAAGCTTTAGCACGAACGCGGAAGTATAATTTTCAATCAACTGCAAAGAATTTCCTCCGTCGCCTTAAGCTTAATTATTACAATTTGTATTACGGCTCAGGTGCCATTCGTAGCATACTAATGAAGCGGAACTTCCGAACATAACATTTATCTAACGGTTAAATCTTCCCCGGAAATTTATAAAGTTTGCACGGTAGCTTCTGTTATTGCTACGTTTCAGACCGCGGGCGCACGTCTGTAGTCTGAAGCAATTACGCTCTTCGTTACCTTGTTAATTACGCACCCTTTTACGCCGGCATATAAAATATCGTTGACACCAATTAAAGTTGTAAACAATGGCTCGGCCGCCGTCATTATCACATTCTGGGTAAACTACTTTATTAGCCTAGTCTGTGCGCGGAGTTCTTCTTTTCCTCCCTCTGCCGGAAGCTAACCGCATTCCATTCCGCGAAAAGCTGCAACTGTGTGGAAAAAAAACACGCTCGGAAACGGATAAATACGGCAGACAATTAATACAATACGGTGGAACAATTAATTCGCGCCCATTATCCATCAATTTATCAGCGAACAAACGCCGGATGATTAAATGCCTCTCTCTCTGAAAAAGTCGGGGAAACGAGCCGAGCGACCTAGCGATCAATTAGCAAAGAACGCTGAACCGTAACGAATCTGATTAATCAAAATTACTGCGCTTTTACGGGGTACGAAACGACGTAAAAGGGATCTTAAAGAGATAGCTCGCGCATGGACGCGGTCGGAACCACGTGCATATCCGAGGAATCGGGGAAATGATAGCGAGTACGGCTGTAGATAAAAAGCGGCGGGAAACGATCGAGAGATCGATCACGGTGCGGTTACATAAGAAAGCTTGATGCATCCCGATAACCAATAAATGGCTACATCGACGCAGGTAACCGGCGAACAGCCAGCGTGCGCTCGGTCGGCTACTCGGACCTCTTCGTCCTCAGCAAGAAGGACATGTGGGACGTGCTCAAGGAGTATCCGGCTGCCAGGGTGCGCCTCGAAGCCATCGCAGTCAAGAGGCTGGAGAAGTACAAGAGAGCTCCTCTGGAGAAAGGTGAGTCGAGCCTACCTTCTCTCTTTCTCTTTATCTCTATCTCGTTTACGCTCGCGCATCAAGTATATACAAACAGCTATCATATTTCTTTAACGGCGCCAGATAGATAGGGCAAATCGATGAGGCACCCCTCTCGAAACGCGCGCGCGCGGATGAACGACTTTCGAAATTCTCCTCGAGTTAAAAGTTAAAAAGCTCTTAAAGATACCTCAACCAAATTTCCCAGACTGCACAACTTAGATCTTACAAGTAACGGCTGATAAGAAATCAGATTTGTAAAAGTTGTTAGTTATCCTCGCGCGAATTAGCTGATTACGACGATGTTTTTTTCTCGTTTTATTCGATGAAACTTTAACGGGAAAGCTCGTGTTAACTATCGGCATTCGGAAGAACTGCTGTCGCGCTTCCTTCCATAATTCGGCTCGTTTTCTTTCTTCATGCCTGTCTCGGGCGTGCTTCGCGAGCGGTTCAAAGATCGTGCGAGCTGCGCTACATCCGCGAAAATTGGTATCGCGTCGGAAATACGCTTAAAACTCCATTTCAATTCACTCGTCCTCGGAGTTGCGCGGAGGACGAGTGAACAGGTTCGAATACGACTGCGAACGCGACGCGTCTTGCGAACAGCTTGGCGCACAACCGAAACGCCCCGAATGCCTGAAACTTCCCTCGTTACCATCGTTAAAATAGCTAGACTCGCGGAAGTTTACGCGCCCTCGGCAAGGTAAGTTCTTCGGGGCGCGGATGCCATCCGGAGAACTGAGAACTTCGAACCGAGGCCAAGAATGGGGGAGGGGATTCCATCAAGATATCCTCGTCGCTGTTACGGCGCATTAACGAATTAACCGTCGTGGAACGCAGTAGACTGGAGTTTCCAGCATAATAGCCGTTAAAGATGTCTTTGAAACGGATACCTTGTATCGTATTCTCGAGTGACATCCCCGAGAAGACGGCTGCAGATTCGACAGCCGTAGTACTTATTTTAGAGCTCGTTACTTTTTGCGACTAACGACGAAACTCAAGTCTCTTCCGTCTTCTGAACATTTTTTTTTTTTTATTAAAATTAATGGCCAAGTTTTATTCCAACTTTTTAAGAGAAAAGATTTCGACAAATATTTCCACTCTTAAAGCTTTGATAATTTTTTTTACCATTCGATTAACTGCCACTAAAGTTTTCTTTAGCAAAAACATGAATTAATTTTTTATTCGCTTTGCTAGATCGATATTAATTTTCTTATATTTTTCTCAATTTTAATTTTATCATGTAACAAAAAATAGCGTTAAAGTTTAATAAAGCGACGATCGAAGTAAAAAAAATGTCCCCATTCTGTTCTGTTTCTCTTTTTCGGATTGTGCGACGACTGTGGTAAAATACATGCTCGTGCCTAAAAAAAGAATATTGTATTCACTGCCGACTGCCTCGAGGGCTGGATGATATAAAAGTCTATCTCATATCGCTCGTCTTTTTATTTCCCAAAAAACTGTCGTTTCAAAATATTCTTTCCGACCTCAATTTTTGCTTTAAAAAAACGCTCGCGGTAACTCTTCTCCGCCTTCTACCCCGCGCAATTCCTCCCTCTCGTTTCTTCTGCAGACGTAACGAGCGTCTAATGCAAGTGGGCTGTCGTGGATGAAAAGCCGGTTTTTGAAGGTATATACCCTTTACAGGAAAGTTTTCAAAAAGTCGACTTATCACTTGACGCTGACAAATATCCACGATGTCGAAAAGACGCAACGTCGAAAAGTACATGGAATTTTTAACCGTCTATCTAGTCTATCGTCTAGATATGTCTCTCAAAAATTACTGAAGCGAGACTCGGTTACACATTTAATCCGCAATCGGATAAAACCCGCAAATTTGCTGCAAGTTAAATAAATTTAATTTGCTCGATATTACTCGACAAGATCGCCGCGGTAAGATTAAGCTACCTCTTCCCCGTTTGAGTCTTCCACAAAGGGAAAACGGTCTGAACCTTTGCCGCGGGGGTATACAGATAAAACCTCAACCACTCTCCATTCATTCAACAGAGAACAATTTTATTTCTCTCTTATACGGACCGGGGAATCCGAAGCTGTGCAAGGGATAAGCGACTGTATTATATTTGCCGCGCAATTCTGTGACGATGCCCCGCCCGCGCGCTCGAAAGTTTGGTGCGCGTAACCGGCGGCAGCAAACTTCGCCACCTTGTACTACCGCATAGGGTGAGCGAAGGGTGGCTGCTTTGCGAGCTTATAGTTCCGGGATTAATTAATTAAATTCCTCAGCTCGCCGCTACGCCTATTACCAGTGTACGCTGACGAAAATCTTTTGAACGAGGCGCAACGAAATCGCGTCTTCGCCTCGCTGCGTCCTTTCAAAGATCCACCGCCGCGCTACGTGATCCTCGATATCTTCGCGCCACTAATGTCTCGAAGAATCTTCGATCGTTGAACTTTGGTCGAGCTTTTGAAAGATATAATCCAGAGCGGCGCGGAACTTGCGCGTTTAACGCCAAATGTGGCTACGTTGCTCTATATATGAGCGAGCGCACGTCTTGTCGAACTTAAGGTGGAGTTGGGAAATGAAATATCTTAGTGTGAGTTTGAAAAGGAGAGGATATTAATTAATTAAAACACATTTGTTGCAATAAATTTGTTTTATTCATTAACTTTTCTTCAATTATTACAAAATGCGTAAATATAAATATATTTGTATCGCTTTTATTTGTTATTTTAAGAAATGTTTAGATTTTACATATATCATGTACGTGTTGTAAAACGTTTATACACGCAAATTTTACTTTTACGTAGAGAAATCGTGCTCGATTCAAGGGATTCAGCGCCGCATATACTGCAAATTCCGTCGCCACTGTTTTACATGTTTCCCTCATACGTCTCATTTGCCTAATGCGAGGAGCGCACGCAGGGTAAACGTGAGATGGAAATTAGGCGGTCGCGTTTAACGCTAAATAGGCAACGGCAAACACCGCGCTATCTCGGAGGATGTCTTTATCTCGGGATTTACTCATCCGCATGCGAAATGTTTTCGTGACCTAATTCCCGACGTATACGTAAAAGCGCGAAGAACGTACGGGGCGGGTACTCAGAGGCGAAAGTCGATGCCACGCTGATGGAGATAAATGGCAGTAGGGATCCCGGCAATTCTTTCCTTCCGGGTGTCTCGTTAATCCGAAATGCGCGGAAACAGCGGTCAGAATACCGCGATATGGCGGTATCAGCTTCGGTCCATAGGTCGGCGCGTGTACACGGTTTGAGCACATCCTCTCCGGTCTACTTTCCGTTTTCTGACAAAATATGTGCGGATATACATGTAGGGGCGTCGCCGAGAACCATTGTCCTTTCAGCCATAAATTCCAGAAGGCGAATTAATAGAAAAGAAGGTATCTGATTCTGTTCGCAATGAGAAGTTAAAGGCTGTCTCTTTTTAAGTATAAAAGATGAAAATAAAACGTCGGGGGAAAAAGTTATTTCACACATTTGATAATATTACAGAAGTCGTAAAATCTGAGACTTCATACAATTTTAAACGGACATTATTCTCTTTCCGGCCTGAGAAAGATTTTATTTTATGTTCTTCATTTACTGCTACTTTTAGTAGGATATTTTTTATACATTAGCCATAAATTTATTCAGCTTTTAACATTTTTGACAGTTATTTTTATTAATATTAAGAACCCATTGAAAAATCGAACTTTGTTATAAATGTTCTTGAAAACCAACCGGTGAAATAATTTACGAAAAATTCACATTACACAGTAAAAAATAAAATGTTAATCGTAACATTTTTCAAATGTCCCAGAAAGTCCACTCTAAATTTTGAGTTAAAATAACTCATTCATCGTGTGTTATTTGTTGACAAATTAAAAATGTTAATTTATTGACACTATATTTTACATTTATATTTGTTCTTTTAACTTTAAGTATAATGTTAAAATAACTTGTCAAAAATGTCGATATAACATATTTGAATAAACGATAGTTATTTCAACTTAAGAGAAATGTTGTTTTGAACATTTGGTTGTAGTAAATTTGATTATTTTGTATGTCAAAGTTTACGATTATTTGAAATTTACTTTAACTTTTGTTTATGTTAAAATAAATTTAAGGCGTGTTGATTTTTTGATATAATTATGTTAAAAGAACTCAAAATAATAATCAATTTCTAAATGACATACATAAAGTGTTAAGTTATCACGTTGACATTAATATAACACATGAAAATGTTACGAAAATAATAACATAGCTGTTGTATGTTAATTTTACATTGAAATAATAGTCAAATCAATCCTTGTGGTAACACAAGAAAATTTTAACATTTGGACGCACGATTTTTTACTGTGTATTCATAAAAAAAACTTGTTTTAAATCTTATGATGCAATTCTTAACATTTTTGGTTCTCCTTCAGAGCAACCTCCTTAAGAGCAACAAAAACATAGCGTTGAATAAAACGAGATATTCTACTCGAGCACACCTTGAGGGATGCCGCCCCGTTTCTTTTCTAAGAACGCGAGCTATCGCCGTGTTTTCCGGTAATACGCTTACGTCGCTGAAATTTATTTCGTTTATAAACTTTTCGAGCCATTCATCACCATCAGAGCGACGGACTTTCATTCGACACTCATCCCGTCGCGCGCGGCAAATGTACTTTTACATCGCTACGAGGGATGACGTATGGGAAATTAGGTCGCTGTAATAAGTGTAATGCGTAACGTGAGTTACGGCGGTGAATTATGGGGAAAGGAGGGAAGAGCCCCGCGTGGTGTGTAGGCGATGCCGAGAGCGAGATCCGCCGGCTTATCGATCCGGCCGCCGCCGTTATCGGTGCAACGTCCCCCTAATTAACATAAAATTGAACAAAGGCATGTCGCCGTTGTGACGTTACGAGTTTAGAAGTACACGTCATTCCTTGCGGATTGCGGATCAACGGAGAGCCAGGCATTTGACGGAGTGAAACTGCGCGAAAAAGGTAGTCTACAGACACGCCTGCGATAAATGAACAGCTTATTGTTAGACCTCTAATTGAAATAGCTTCAAAGAATCGCGTCTCGTGCGTCACGAAAATAACAATTTTTTTTTGGGCTTGCCGTCCGCTATTAGCGTCTTGATCCGCGATTTACCTCCCATGCCGTGATATTTAAAGGTCACTTTAATTACGAAGGATTTTTAATTTAAGTGACCCGAGCCCACGCGTTTCACATAACGATTAGTCGTGTTATTAAAACCTTTTTTTTTTTTACTAGAAATGTTTACGAGTACGATGCACAAATACGTTTTTAATTCGTTGGTTTGCATAATTTGCTGTTTACAATCCGCATCTTTCGACCCGCGAATATCCGCTTTACATAAATACGAATGGATATTGTTAAAGCCTTCTTTAAATGATCCGTAATGCTGTAGTGTATAATGTGATACATGCCATGCGTACGTATTTTAACATACATTTTATTAAAATTATACATTTTGGATTCTCTTTAAACACTTTTCAGATACTTGTTATAATTGTATGCTTTTTGTAGAAAATGTACATTATAAAATTCTATTGTGATTTCTAATTATGAACCGTCTAAAGCAGACTTTCGTCATAATCAGCCGAATGTCTTTAGCGATTAATAACGTCTTCGCGCATCGACAATGACATTGTCGCAAGGCGGAAACTCGTAACAACCCCAAGGATCGTGAATTCCGCTCGACGATCGAAGGATTCGCATCAAAGTGAAATGGCGTACCATTGATGCCACTGGATACTGTCGGCGTCGATTAAATGTCAACGCGCCCCAAAAGCGGAAATTCGAGAGCACGTACGGATCGTATCGGGCACGACGTGCGTAAACACACAATGCATGGATAACTCCGCATTGCGAATGAATGATATATTCTAAACAAACGGCTGGCTCTTGTCCCGTATTTCTCCCCGTGGGTTTCGCCATATTTCGTAAATTCTGGCGACACTCCGGTTGAATTTTTCGTGCGCGACAACGCGTCGCGGTTTCACTTCCACGGCAAGATGGAAAAAAAAACGACAGCGACGACGATAATGTCGCGATTCTCTATTTCTCGGACCATCGGTTCGTCGCGGTTTTTCAAATAAAAGCCCCGCGCGCAAAAACAGATTTGAAACTGTTTGATGAAACTCGGGGATCCGTGAACGAAACGCGGTAGTATTACTATTTTACGTTAATTAAGGTAACGTGAATTTGTGTGGAATTATTCAAACTGTCATGTTAATTTTGTTGGCACACAGAACGATTTTCCAGAAATAGAACACGTTAAACATGTCCCATCCACGTTCCATCTCTTAAGCTTCTTTTGCTGAAACCGCATATTTGCATTCCTTCCCTGTCGCGACTCCATCCTACAATGACGAATAATTCTCTTAATGTAATAAGCTCTTTCATAATTTTTATAGCAAATAGAAAGAAGAGTATTCAATTCTCTGCGATCAATTTAAATTTGCTGCTTTTATTTTCAGAGATTATATTTATTAGGCATGTTATAGAGATATTGATTAATAAAGATCCAATACAAAGTATATAAATTCATATTGGAGAATATTGAACGACATAAAATTGTTTTAACGCGGCTAAATAATTTAATAACTTTGTTGCTAGAGCTGATAGAATCATCATGATCCCACACAGTGGAATCATCGCTGTTACTAAAGCAAGTGAATTTCCAGTTGCCATGGGCAGGTGCCAGAGCACGCCCGGTCTGGTGGAATCGCGAGGCCGCATATCGCTGGAGGATATGTGGGTGTCTCCGATCGACCTCAAGTCCCACGCGTACTCGACCGCCGCCTCGTTGTTCTCGCCGAGTCCGAGCCCGGTGACGACTCGCACCATGCCGGGCGCGACGCTGACCGACGCGAACAACCTTCCCAGGGGTACGGAGAGCCCGATGAGTGGGGCCAGCAGCGGCCCCAGCAGCGAGGACCAGACGGCCAGGGCGCCTCCGTCAGCCGCCACTCAAGCCTCCATCGGCAGGCAATCCACCCACTCCGGTAAGTTTCCCCCTCACCCGCTTCAATCAATCAATCAAGCTTTATTAACTTCAGCTTATCCCAAGTAGTGGACTTTACAATAAATAACTTAACTCACTTGTACCATCTTATACTATCCATGCGGCCATACTTAATCCTATCTGCTGTTCCTTGCTTTAGCTTTTTTCTCTTTTTATAAATATTTCAACACCTTACCTTTAACCCTATCTAATTCATCATTCTATATGTTATCTATTATTTCTCCTTTACTTCTCCCTAATTCTATAAACCATCAATCTTTGGTCCAATCACAGTCTTTTACATAGCGACTAATAGTTCCCTGCGAATCCCTACGTTATTCGCAGAACACATATATTATTTCCTCCCTCATTCACTTCTTTTCTCAGAATTTCGCCCGAGTTAATAGGATTCTGCCTCTTTTCCCCAAGAAATGTTGAAATTTCCAACACGTTTTAAAACGGATTCTGACGATGAGATAAATATAAATATTTTATATATTATATGGATATAAATCTTTCTATTTATTATATTCTTATCACAACACTCCACATATAACTGGTATATTTATATCAGAAATCGCAATTCGTAATCCTCTTACGGTCTTACCAGTGGTGACTGTAACTACTGGCTATAATTAAATTTAATTAACTACTGTGCCACGTATATCTCTAAAAAAAACGATAGCTAAAGCGGATCGATAGACATTTGAACCATCAAATGAAAAATAACGATGTTAATTTATAATTATTATACTGAATAATAAATGCTTCGAGAAAAAGATATATGTTTTTAATAAAATAAATAGGAAATATTATAGAAGTATAGGTAAAATAAGGGAATTTATCCGCCGAGTGGATTCAATATAAATGATTTATGAAAAGCAGCGGATATTTCTGTAAGCACTCGAAACATCGAGTAATCACGTAAATTGTATCATCGATAAAATGCTGGAAACACGGTGAAAATTTTATCCTATCCCCCCGCAATCACGTTTGATATCTCGTAAATTCGTTTTGCCTACGTAGGACAAATTTCATATCAGATTTATTTTAAAAATGTCATCGATCGCTACCTGCGGCCGATTCGTCTGCGATAGTATTATACCGGGGTATATAAATCATTGCTGATAACGGGACGCGCGATGGTGTGTGCCATGTTCGCGCAAACTGCTGACGCAAAACCGTAGTTTCTTATAGACTGTAAGACTTCGCGATTAAGTGAAGCGCGAACACGGAGAGAATAGGAAGACCTTCATAGCCTCTCATCTCACTTTCTAGTCATCAATATTTCACGTTCCATAAAAGCTTTTTTAGAAAGGCCGCGTAATGTTTGTACCATAAACCATCGATGTCGTTACGTTCGATTGAACGTTTTGTAATAAGTTCCATCCTGGAGATATTTTCAGAACAAAAGACTCTGAAACACACACACACACATCTACACGTGCGCGCGTGTGCACACACAAAGACTCAGATTCTCCGCAATATTATGGAAATTGTCATCATTCATGATATTCCTAGAAATGCATTTTATTGTTTATCGTTATACGATTCATTTATCTCGGCAAATTTAATCGTCGTATTTTGAATGAGCTTTAATTGCTTATCACTATACTTATGAAAGAAAAAGATTGATGAACCGTGCAGCATTGTGCACGTCCCCGGAAGGAGACTTTATCGCGCCTTTGCTAAACGAACGAGCGATTCAGTCGCAATCTCGGCTCGCGATCGGATTAAAATTCTGCGGGACGCGCGATCTCTCTCATTGCAAATCAAATCTAACCGGACGTGAATAACGCGCGAGCGTGATGTCGCGCGAATACGGCATCGCGCGCGTTTATCGCGCGGCCGTAAAACGGCAAAAAGGTAAATTCAGAAATATCGCGGGGGATAATGAATGACGAGCGACGCTCGGCGCCACTCGTAAAATAGCGGCCCCGACCATTAACCCCGATAGATACGATAGGGTAGTAACGATTTTAACGCGTTTCTGCCGACGTTTATATGTCGTTTGGGGAATAAAACCCACCCCCTCCCGCCTTTCGCGCGCTGAAAATTCCACTGGTAATCGAGCGTTTCCGTTTAAAGCGTGTATATGAATAAAACGCGATATGACACGTTAAGGGTGGGGGGGGGGAGAGAGCGGTTACCTCCCCAGCAATTAAAGCGACAGACTTCGCTGCGGGGCGATAACAAATCGGATGCGAATCGACAACGTACTGATAGTGCGATTTAACTGACGAAATATCACCGCGCGTAATCGCCACTCCGCTGGGGGGTACGTTAAAATGGAAAAGCGAATCCTCTCGAAACAGTCCCGTCCAATTTCCCGTGCCGAATTGCGAATGTTGACGCGAGGAGTGACACGATCAAGACGAGTCTCTAGACAATAGGGTTTCTGAATGGCCAGACGGTGGCAGTTCGTGAATTAGTTAGCAGTTTGCTAATGCTAATTCTCGTACGTATCAACCCCCGCGCGACGCGACCGGCGCGGCGGCAGAGACGCGGTTCATCTTGTATGCGAATTCTATTATCGCGCTAGTGCAACTGTTGCGAGAGAGAAATACTAATCGCGCGCATTAATCAACATCAGTGAATCACAAAGACCCGCGCGGATGCGCTCGAGGATTCCATTTCGCATTCGTACTCGCCGGCGGTACTCTGTTAAGTGCGGAACTCGTTTGTTGCTCTTTCCAAGCTTCTCATCTAACTTTCAACGATTGATAATTGCGCGCGCGCTTGTAATAGAGCAGCTGGGCTGAAAGACAAAACTTTGTATTCACATACATAATATATATGTAAAGCTAAATATACCTCACTGAAACGCGATCCCTACATTAAATGGAAAACACAGATACTAAATAAAAATAGATAGAGAATAAATTATTGACCAATTTCCTGGTGAAAAAATTTCTTATATCTTCTCAGAAAGTTTCTAGGAACTTATCATATTTTAGATTTATGAAAAAATTATGAAGAAATATATAAAATTTTTCAGATCTTTCAGAAATAATTGGATGAGGATTTTCGGAATATTTCAGTATCTGTATGTATAAAAATTTCTGATAAATTGCGCAGATTTTCATAAAGATGTGTTAGCGGGAGAGAGAGAAAAATCTGAAATATTTTATTATTATTTTGTCTGAGTTTTTCTGAAAAACATTTTAATTTGTATATAAAGTCTGAAAAATTCTGAGCATTCTGAGAAAGTTTTAAAATGTTTATAAGAAATTTTGATTAATAATAGGTATGAAAAATTCTGAGACATTTTTCCACCAGAGTTGTAATGACACGAATTCGTATTGAGCGTTTGTTTGTTTATTTATTCGCTTTCGTATGATTTATTAAATTATTATTAATAAGCTTCCGGACATGTTTGTTCATTACAAGAATACGAAAGATAAATTTCGCAAGAGACGTGAACACTCGCTACTTATATCGAGTGAAAACGACTTGTCTTGCTTCAGGCATGACTAACAGCACGACGCAGCTGGTGAGCGAGGGTACGACACCCTTGTTTGGCACTCACGAGGCTCTGTTGGCGGAGATTCAGCGTCTCCGCGAGCGCCTGAAATGCCTGGAGACCGAGAACGCGACGATGAGCATCAAGCTCAATCAGCAGCAGTGGGAGGTCGAGCATCGGCTGGCCGAAATCGAGATGCAGATCTGCGGGGCGAGCTCGACCTCGAGCGTCGAGGACAACAATGAGAGAAATCGGGAGAGCATTATTTAACGAGAAACAATGCCGCGAGAGCGCGGCAAGACCAAGATCGAGCGGATACGCCACTACATTGTCGGAGCCGCTGATTCTAGGTACTTATCTCATTATATTATACTTTATATTATATTTTTTCTCTCGCGTCTTGTATTATTTTATTTCTCTTATATTCCATTATTACGGTCAGTTATTCCAGCGGCAATATTGCTGACGTCTTACGATATATTTGCATATATCTTTTCTTTTCTCTTATACACAGAAAAAAAGAATTAAGTGCTAAATTAAAACTTATATATACTCAAATTAATGCGCTCTTTGTTTCGTATATACACATTTTATAATCTTCTTATAAGAATTTGAATTTTTTATTTCAAGATTTCCACGTTGAAACTAAAGATATTTTCAAATCACGAATATTCTTTTTTCTGTGTATGCATACTCAGTTTTGTAAAATCAAACTGCACACACGTATAATGTGTCCGATCCGGCTTTTGCAGGTACGGCGATCAGGAGGAGCCGGACGAAGCGAGGGTCTTCAGCGACACGAAGTCGATCGGTAGCCTGAGCCAGCACCTGTTCGAGAGCGACGAGGACGAGCGTTACTACGGTACCTGCAACGGCTACGTCTCGCAGCCCGGCAGCAAATCGAATCTGCTGCTGTGCAGCGAGTGCGATCAGAAGACGCACACCTGCACCTACCAACCGCAAACACCTGACTCGCACGCCGGCAGATACGTGGAGGAGCGTATGGACGATCGGCACCAGGAGCCGGGAACCTCTCGTGCCTATAGAAGCCCAGTGAAGCTGTCCTCCCCGCGCTCGTACCGTCCCGATCAGGATCGCGTGGCGCAGACGCCGTCGCCACGATCGTACCGCGATCTGGAGCAATCGGTGCCGATAACGTCACCTCGATCCTACCGGACGCAGCAGGAGCAGCAGCGACGCGGATGGACCGCCAGGGACACGGACGATCGAGGTGACGTCGACAGAGGCGAGTACCTCGACCAGTTCTGGTCCGAGGATTGAGCAAGTTCGTTCGCTTTGCTTAATTAATTTGAATGGCCTCGATGTTCCCCGACGATCCGATGTCTCCCCACCGTCCGGTGTACACGACGTTTCCGGTCTACGCACTTGCATTCCAATCTAGAACTCTTTCTCCTTCTAAACAAAAAAATTCCTTTTTCAGTTTAATCCTTTTTTGTTATTAGACTGCAAATCTTTATTGAAACCTTTGAGTCTTTTGAAACCTTTGAAACCTTTTAATCCTGTATTACGAGAATGGATGTTATTACTTAACGTAGATAGCAAATGCTCGTAAAACAACTTTAGTAGATTAGGAGAGTATCTCCGCTCTCCCTTCTCTTATCTGTGTTTGAAAAACTATGGTAGCATCTTTCCATTTCATTTCTCCGCATGCACCCCGCATATTCTTCCCGATTATCTGGCCGCTGTTTGCATCCGCACTTCTCGCTGACGCTTCGCGCGATCTCCGAGGCGACTGCCGCTGCTCGGAGATCGTCTCGATCAGGCGACGATCTTAGATCGCGCGTGACAACCGTCGAGCTAACCCGCCGATCTGCTCACAGACCGCGAGAGCCCGATCTGCGAGCTCTGCCGAGGTAACGGCTACGTCGTCGTGCACTGCGAGCACTGCGACTTCTCCAGCGACGGCGATCTGATCTGCTTCCGCTGCCAGAGCGACGAGGGCTCGTCCAACGGTCATATCTGCCCGCGGTGCGAGCGGGAGGCCGGAATCGCGTCCAGCACCGGCAGATCCGGCTCCAGCGACGAGGGCAACGGCAAGTACCCGGTGGACGCCGTGGTGAAGATCCAGGTGAACGATCGGACGATCGACATCGACTCCGACGAGACCCCCGAGAGCGAGAGCTCGGGCAATTATCATCCCGCGAGGGGCGCGACGGAGCGGCTCGACACCATCGTCGAGACGAAGGGCGACACTGCCAGCGAAAACGACGAGGAAAACGGCGGCACGAAGCTCAACGGTACCCCTAGCGCGAAATATCTCAATTACATGATCGTGCTGTTCCTGTAAATAAAATGACGACGTTGAGATAGATGCGGCCGGATCCGCGGCCCGTGGCTTGCTCAGCGCGGAAAGAGGGGTCCGTGGAATCGTGCGCGGGGGTTGTAAATTATTGGATCGTTGAAGCGACAATTCTTTTTTGATTAACCGATCATCTTATCTTTTGGAAATTATCTCAATCGTAACTATTAACCAAAAATAGTAATAATAATTTTAACTGCAAAATTCCGGCGTTGCTTCCTGCTGAATTTTATGATTTTACTTTGACTCGAGACCAGTGACGTTACGTCCACGCAACGCAACCGCGATCGATCCGCGAAATTGGACGGCCAGCGCGATGGCGAACGCCAAATCACTTACGAACTGTTGACGCTAATATCAAGGGGGCCGCGGCTCGAGCCGCACTGTAAATAAACTGCCACTGGATATAATTGATCCGTACAATATAGGACCGTATAGATTAATTAATAGATAGCTCGTAATAGTTAAGATGCAGATCAAGCGAGGCGGAAAGAGGGGAAGAGAGATAGAGAGAGAGTGTGTATGTGTGTGTGTGTGTATGTGCGTGTGTGTATCACGTTCGACGCGCGCAGTATAGCCATGAGCTGAGATCCGTGACGCAACGGTCGACACGTTTCGACGCGCGGTTCTTAGAGCGGGTGTGTGCAAAGATTATAATTACTCAGTTACGGATTGGCCATCGGGGCTTATATCGCCATTAACGGCGTCAATAATTTGGATTAATTAAACTTTGTACGTAATATCGATCCTAGGTAGCTTCGAGTGGACATGGATGGGCAAAAACGAAACAGAATTAAGACAGCTCGCTATTTATTATTACTAGTCAGTCGGGAGTAATTGCTACTTTTTTTTATCAATGCTCTGTACTTTTTTTCGATATGTTAAAGCTTGACATGGTTTGTAAAAATTGTTACTATTATTTTTAGCAGTGATTTAAAGAGACGAACAGGTGATATTAATCACAAGTAATTACGATTCTTGCACAACTCTCTACTAACTCATGTTCGGGACCAACTAAAGCCATCACCTACTACATCACTGCTTCCGACTTCCGCTTCCATCCGTGATCATCGTTTGTTCATTCGGTCAAAAAAGGGGATTTAAAAATTCGAATTCCGGATAATCTTCCGATTCTGACGAAAATCGGCAACATCGTCATCTTCATAGTGTACTGAGACAGTCGAACCGAATACTTCATTCTCTCATAACGAAGAAGGCAGGACAGAGCGACGCGTTTAGAGGCGATACACGAGCGCGCGAATTCACCGAATCTCGTAAAAGCGGGGGAGATAAAAAAAAAAGAAGAGACGATTTTGTTCTCCTCCCACGTTTGTAACACGTGGCAGCGATTTTTTTTTAACGTTTATAAATTATGGAGTAGGGTCCTTACTATAGACGTGTACGTTTTTTAACGTTTCATCTTCCAATTCCGTGAGTATCCCGAAGTAATCTGAAATTTCCGGCGTGTCGAAAAATAGATCAAATTCGACATATAAATGAAACAGGGCAAAATGAAGAAGGTAACGAAAGAAGTGGGAAACCGATTCTTCTTCTTTCTTTTTCGTCATTTCAAAGAGAGCGTAAAAGGTAATCCGAGCGATCGCGAAGTCGATAATCATAAAAAAAGATGATTGAAACTGGTATGATTCCGAAAAGAAATGTATCTATCGCCGATTTCGCGAATAAGCAGATTGTCCTAGTGTGCTTTCAGTATCGAAATTTGAAATAATAGCGGACTAAGACGAAGAAGATAAAAAATCTTACGTGAAGACCCTAGACACGAAAAATTCAGAAAGATTCGAACACGTGTGCCAATTACATCGAAATTATACCAGGGTCAATCTTTGAACTCTCGGGTGCGATCAACCCGAGGAGGTGGGAGAGCATCACAAATCTCGCGGGACTTGGGCTCATGTCATCTGTATGATATTCACCGAACAATGATTACCGTGTAAGGTATTATCCTTAGGAAGTATCAGTACCCGATAAACTGATCCCGCCTTTGCTGCGAAGTCGCGGTAACCCGAAGAAAGTGTCGAGAGAAACGAAGAAAGGGGGAAGAGGAGAAAGGGAACATCGCGACCGGCAGTTCAGTTCGGAACACACGTAGCGATTAAGTGCTCTTACTACGAAAAAAAATAAATAAAAATAAAAATACGAAATGCTTCGCGAGGATTACAGGCGTGCGTCCCGCGCGATCTCGTCCGCGCTCGAGTTACGGCGCTCTCCGCGGCCGAGGGCGAACATCACTCTACTGCCACGTTGATTTAGAACACCTCTGTAAATTTGTTAGAGGAATTTGTAACACGTTAGGGCGACACTTCGATAAACCGTTGAGATTTACATTTACTCCCGTACGCGCGATCCCAAGGTAGACGAGATACTCCGAGTCTCTCCGCCTCCGTCTCTGAAGACGATTGAAACGGGTCCGAATGATTCATGCAAGACGCTCGGTATCGAGATAAAGCTCATTCCACTTCCGAAAGTGCATTGGAGAGAAGCATTGGCCCTTTGCGGTCCAAATTATTTCTCGCAAACGTGCGAAGACCAAGTATTTAATCTTTAATTTTATCTGATCGGCTGATCTAACAAAGAATGTTTATTACTTGAAATGAATTATGGAGATTCCAAATATATAATTTAATTAAGATAAATTTTTTAATTATCATTAATTATTATTAATAATTGTGGTCTAAGTTAAAAGTTAAATTGATTTAATTATCAATTATAAAACTGTTATACAGTTATACAATAATTAATCATTGTTATAAAACTGTCATTAATTATAATATATATCATAATCGCAGATTCGAATGCTTGAGAAATTATGCAATAATTAACGCATTATGTCAAGTCCAACTCGACCGCAAAGGGTTTTACAAATCAGACTCTGAGCGAAAGCTCTCGGGAGCTCGCAATTTCTGAACGTTTTATTATTGAACAGGCTGAAACTCTCGAGCAGTTATTGAGTAAGGGTCACCCTTCACTTTAAAGTTTGCTGGACAGTTTTGCTGTCGAGAACTACTCTCAAAAAGTATAACTGTCAAGTATATCTAAAATTCAGCGAGATCACGCGTGTTATAATGATTCGTGTCTATTTCAGAGAAATGCTGTCTAGGATCGCTCTTAATAGTCATATTTACTTTCCAGTGAATATATCACTATCACAAAAGAATATTATACATAATTATTTTCTTATTTAAAATTTTATTCTCTCTCGTTCTCGTTATCAAAAGTTACTTCCAAATGGACACGAGATTTAAAAGGCAAGATAAAATATTCCAATTCCAAATGGACACGAAATTTGAAAGGCAAGGCAAAATGTTCTAATTGCCAATTGCGCACATTGACTCTCGACACCGCGCGTATTGTCTGGAATATGTGGATTTGCGATTTGCGGAAGATCGGTCAATGAATGGCAATATATAGAGCGATATATAGAGAGGGAGGCTTGTGTTATGAAGAGATGAGAAATGCGTTTAATCAGCCTTACTTAGACAATTATTACATTATTATATTAAATTTATATGCGTATAAACGTGAGTGATTTGCGTATGTATATCGGCGTACTTTAATTACAAATTACATCCTTGGCGATATGTGCGCTGTGGACAACGATATAATCTACGAGCAACGTGTGATCGTAACGTAGACATGGTACATGCGTGTTGTACATAAGCGACTATCATTTGGCGTTATCGGCGCCCGAAAGAGTATCTTGCGTTCGAAGCTTCAGGATCCTGTCTTCGATGGAAATTATCTAATTATCTTAACGTTAATGATTACATGTAAATAGCGTTGTCAGTGCTGTATATTTTACGCTGTATAACTGGCTGTGATATTTATATGTTCAGAGTTTAATTGTGATTAGCGATACTCTATGTTGATCCTGTTGAGCGTACAAATTGCGTATTACCCCATGCGTTTCATCGATTCGATCGATTATAAGCGTCGCGGAATCGAAATATACATAATACTCGTCGAAGGGACACGTCGTTTGCTGAGTTTGCGGATCGTCGCCAATTTTTTTTTTGTCGAGAATTTTGAAAGCAGTACAACTCAAATAATTACAGCTTACAATCTTTTATATATTATGACAATTACTCATCATTTTATCATTGTTATTATTATCAGAGATGCGGATACTTATAGCGCGATGTACTTGTTAAATTTAGTAGCGCAAGTAGGTAAACGATTTACGATGCCACAGTCCGAAGAGCGCGCCCGAATCAATCGATTTTTCAACCGACGATAATCACGCGTTGCTCCGAGTCGTTTAAAACCGGAGTAAAATCAGCGCTGCAAATGGAAAATGTAAGATAACTTTCAGGAGATTAGCCGCGATACATTTATTATTACGGTTCGGAATACAAGGCGAACTTACGCGATCGATATCAATTTATCAATGATCAATCGGATCATCTTTCTCTATCATAATAACACTTCCGCATGACTGTTTGCGCGATATTGAGTTTATTGAAATATTTATCGGTGTTACAAGCGACGTAGATGTGTACAAAGAGGGAAACGCCATTGGAGAGAGATTTACGGAGCCGTAACGCCCGAGGTTCGTTACGAGATGAAAAAAGCTTGTTAATGACTGACCACTCGACGCATCCATCGTGCGGTTGACCCGTCTCTTTTTCTCTCATAATTCGAGCGCACGTTCCATTGCCTAATTACATTTAACGATTGAACGTCACGTTCCAACGTCCACGACCCTAATTTTAATGGCGATTTCGAAGTCCAGCCTTTCCTTAGGTCCTTTAGGAGAAAAGAAAAAAAGAGAGCCATATCGATCATTGGAGAAAAGTTTCACGACGATGTTTTCGATAATTAATCAATTAATGCATACAGTCGCGATGCATGTGTTGTTCGTCAACTTTTTATATGGCCAAATTTACAAGTTTTGCATATATTTAAATAGACACACTACGTAGTCGGATGTTCGACAGACAGATTTTTCTGATAAAATCTCTTAAAACGTGGAAAGTGTCAATGGAATTTCTGGTCGCTTTGTGGATTCACGTACAGCCAATTTCTAATGCGTATTAACGTAGTGCCAAGTTTTACGATGGTCTTCCTTTGCACGCGGTATAAAATCGCACGCGATTCAGAAAAATGTGAAAAATGCAGCGAACGTACAAATATCGAAACAAATCGCACGCGCGCATTTTTTTGTGTGCCAAGAATACCGGAGGAATATAATCCGGGAGCGTCGCGATCGTAGATCTAATGTTTCTTTTTAAATCACACGTAAATAGTTATTCTTTAAAAAAAAATTAACGCGTGGGTGACGATCGTAATTATATATCGCGCTCTTCCATTAGAACAAAGCCGATTATATCTCGGCATTAACTCCACAAAGTGATCCAGAAACGGTAATAATCGGTTTGCCTTTAATATATATTGCTATCGTGCATGCAACGGAATCCTTAATGCTTAATGCGATTACGCTATTCCATATCGGACGGCAGGAGTATAGGCGAAGATGTATTATTAACATTCGAGCACTTTTACATAAAAACTTCTCCATTTCTTCGTATCTTGAAAAATTTTTTCGTTTATTAGAAATGCAAAAAAGTAATTCGAAGCGCGAATTTACGAGCGGTTGCAATAGGTTTTAGAACGTCGTTGTGTTCCGTCGTGACATTTGAGGAGATTCGTCGATGAAATGGATTACTAAATTTAGTGTGTAAGCGATATTATAGATAAATCGCGTAGGAAAAATTTTATCTCAAATGTGACCTCTTTTCTTGTAGATTGGAGAGGGAGAATTTTTAGAACGTACAATGGATTCAGCGACGTTTAATCCTATCAGATCGGAACTATGTATCTAATTATAGAAAAGAGATTAAAACATCGGGAGATACGTGCGAAAACACGAGGAAAGATACAACGAATTTCTTATTTTTCTTTAGTTTACACAATTGTATGCGTAATCCATTTCCGAGCACCGCAATAGACTTCTCTCTTTATAATTATGTAAAAGTATCGTTATTCGTTTAATGATATTAAAAATATCGTGACTTGCGATTTAATGTTGCTTCAAAAGAGATAGTCAAAGAATTTATATATCATGTTTTTTCATGCAGAATAATTGCAATTGCACATTTGTATCAAGTTACTTTTATCTCTGCGATATCCTATAGACATTTCCAGATTAAATCTCCAAATATTTTATACATAAAACGGTCATGTATATCTAGTAGTTCAGCAGGAAAACTCTCGGACTTCAGTGAGCCAGATAACGCGAAAATCCAAAAGGCGTCTGAAGAAACTCGTTTGGACGAGGCGTCTTTTAGCCAATTGTATCGCCTGAAAAGAATGAGAGAAGCCCTCTTCATTTCTGCGCGAATTAGCTCGTCCTCGTAGCCCAACGTGATCTATATGGCACAGCTAGATATATTGATTCCTTGCGCGTGAATCGCTCGCGAAAGAGAAACTTCTGCCATGCATCGTTGTTTTCGGCATTTCTGTCATTTCGCTACCTCGATCACACGTCACGGCGCTTAGCATTAAACGATCTATCCGATATTACATAACATGAAACAGGGGTGGGGGAGGGGCGAGTCTCTCGATAAGGCTCTTAATGAATGGTTACTCAGGAATAAAGTTATAATGTAATAACAGTTGCGATATTGAATATTAACATTTAACGAACGACCTTTTGTAAATATGAATATAACAAATATAAAGATACACAATATTGCATATAAATATACATGTATATATATGTATATGT